ATCCTGTGGTCCTATTTTTCCAGCTGGGGAGGTGAAAACAATGTTGGCATTTTCAAGTGATCCATCACAAATTTTCATTTCTATTTTCAGCTTGCTTTCTATTGGTATGGCTTTGATTTCTACTTTGATGCTGTTTCCAATAATCAAAATAAGAAATACAGCCTTTTACTGACATCTTTCAAAACCATCTTCAAATTATGCTGTTTCAGCATCACAGTAGGAAAATTCAGAGAGATCTTCTGTTAGTATTTACACTGCAGGCTCTAAGTTTAAAAAATGGATTATTTTACAACCTTTGTTTGGGTCAGGAATATAATCTGTAATTGGCAAATAACGACATGCTTATTTTTTTGTCAAAGTGAACGATAACTGGCAAATGGATTTTCAAAATATCTTCCATCAGAGTATTATTATGGGGGGTTAACTATTTTTCTTTTTGAATCGGTCAAACTGTCCAAAAGGGTTTCTCATTTTTGGATGGATGAAACCAGAATTGGTGTTCCCCCCAGCAGATGGCTATTTTATCTGCTCAAGGTGTGATTCACCACCTGTGAAAGAAACAAGGGAGTTTGGGAAAGGGGAATGAGGATTCTCCAACAGGAGCAAGTCTCTTCAGGATCCCAGGAAATTTCCCAAACCACCCAGTAAACATCAAAGTAGCACTTGTGCTTATTCCTTGGAAGTAACATTAAACACCTCTGTAAGAAAACAAACATATTTTGTCTTGATCAATGGATTTGTGCTATTTGGCATAGCTCAGAAAACTTCAGAAACCTCTGTCAACACAGGCAGGAATCCATCTCTGACACACTGAAATTCATCAGTTGATATATTTCAGGAACAGCGGACTACTCAGTGAATAAGGAGTTGATTGAACGGTCACAGAGTGTTGTGGTCAAAATCTCTACGTCCAGGTGGAGGCTGGGAATGAGTGGGCTCTGTCTTGGGACTAGTACATCTTTATCAAAGACCTGTACAGTAAGACTGAGCTTGCCCTCCGCTGATGACAAGAGGCTGAGAAGGAAGGCCAGGTTACATGGGGCCCTGGGCAGCCTGATCTACTGGGTGGTGACCTTGTCCATGGCTAGGATTTTGAACTAGATGATCATTAAGGTCCCTTCCAACTCAGGCTATTTTATAATTCTAAGAGAGCACTGGCACTCTTAGCATCCCCTCTTTCCTTGCACTCCAGCATAAATTGCGATCAATCACAGCATACCAAAGCTTGGGCATCCTGCCCAGGACTAAAGGGGGCTGGCTGACCCACTGGGCAACCTTGGGGCCTTTCCCCAGAGGAGCAACCATGCAGTGTGATGTGGGGACAGGGTGATGCAGGAGCTGTGAAGAGGAAGGGAAATGACAGGAATTACCACCTGCCTTACGAGAAAGACAGCCTGCTCCCCTCTGCCAGTCCATAGCAGTGGCAGCATCTACAAAGTTACTGTCAGCCTGATATTTGAAAGCCCTACTGCCCTTTTGCCTGGCGCAGGCAGCAGGAGTAATCCTCATCCTGCCTTGCCTCAAATTCAGCAGAGCCCCACAGCAGCAAGCAGTAAGCTTGCATGGCACTGTATGTCTGAAATCAGCTTTTGATACTCAGAAACAAAGGGCTCAGTTGTGCACTCCAAGTGCATACCCCTCAAAACTTGCCAGCAGGCTGCAAGGGCCAGGGGAATGGGACCAGAATCCATACTTGCTGCTGTTTTCACCTCATCCCACTTAAACACATTTATGGTCAGTAGCAGAGGTTTACTCTCACTATAGTCACTGGGAAGATACAAATAAACTTTAATGAATATTGCCACGGCCCAGGTCAACAGATAAATGATTCTGTTATTTAACATAGCTCTCAGAGCTATATCTAGAAGTGGAAACCGACATTTTATACCTCCTTTTTCACAAACGTTACAATGAAATTTAGCTTGCTATTGGCTGCATTTTGTGAGTTAAAGGGATAAACCCCATTAATTCTCTGCTGATAAAATGTTATTGAACTCACTGTAATGTCTGTTTTTCCTTTGCCAAAATCCCTGATTCCTTTTTATCCTTGCTACTTCCTCAGTGCTATTCCCTTACTGTAGGCTACATAAAATCAAAGCCGACTATCCAGGCAGCAGAATATTTCCTTTATTGAAAAATCTCCCTTATTTTCAGTTTATAAACTGTCAGCCTGCAAGGGACAACTGCTCACAGCCCATTCCACACAATAACCATTCTTTGCAGGCCATGGCAGGTTGCAAGAAATGCCCCCTCAATCTTACATCTTTCCCACAGCTTCCAGACAGTAAAATTACTCTAAAGAAATACTAGGCTTTCTAGATCAAATGATTTCACATGAACAGTTTTACACAAAACCATCTTCTAAGCTAATATATATATATATTTTAAATATTATAATATTCTGCTTTAAGATATGAGGCCAAATGGTTGGGCTAGTAGATGAGACCACTGGGAACCAACCCAAAATTGATGTATCTGATTTCACTTGCCAAGCTGAATGACAAGCTGAGAATTGAGGCAACCAATTTCAATTTGAAAATAGCTGCCATTCCCTCATCTCATGATGTAGAGCAGAATTAAGAAAAAGCAGCACCCATCCTTCCTGAGAGACAATGCTGTTAAAGCCACCCACCCCACTTACAGAGATCTTCAAAACAGCATGGTGTAAAAGCTGACTTCTGCCTGGAGAGCATGAGCCTGTGCTGGTAGAAAAGAATGCAGTTCACAACTCCAACACCAGGACACCAAATGGAAAATATTTGTTAAGAGTGAGGAACTAATGTAAGGAGAAGATGATAGGACAGCCAAGGTGGAAAGGAGGAACTTGAACAATTTTGCAAGAACTGAGTGCTTTTCTTTATTTAATATATTTATTCACGAGTCAGGATACTATTAAGAGTGTGCTAATGAAAAATCATTAGCTGATGATGTCAGGTTAGGAGATCTGATCAATACAAAGGAGGAATGGAACATCACACAGGAAGAGCTACAAGATCAAAGCTGAATTTAAGAACAACAACGGTTTTGATTAAAGTAGAAAATTAACATCAAGAGAGGTTTAAGAAAGAGAAAAGCCTGGGTGTGTGACTACAGAAACAGCCAGCACGGTGCTAGCATGGCTCCACCAGCCAGCTCAGCAGGGACACAGATATACTAACGAAACTCTCCAAGCACAGGAGAGAACGCAAAGCTGAGAATAACACTGGTTAACTTTAAACTGGTCATTAAAGGAAGTCTCTTGTGGCTAAGAGCTACTTTTGCCCCCAAAATAAATGGGTACATAAAGAAAACTCTAGAAAAGTCTTCAAAATAATGGCAACAGCAAGAAGGAAAGTATCCTAAGACTGAGTTTAACATATTTGTGAATGGGATTATTTCATCTGACACGAAATGAATGATAATTTCCTGCTCTGGCCAGCAGGTGGGCAGTGCTTTGGGAAGCACTTCCCAGCCCAGAGCTCCTGTGCTCCAGTGGCAGGAGTCACCTTGAGTTGGATGATGCTGCACGATAAGGGCCCAAGGGAATTCATCATATTTAATATTAAAGACTTTACTTTGACACAATTTCAATTGACTGCAACAAATCAAAGCAAACTCTGCAATAAATGTCTTCATAATGCCTTTGCTGTAGCTGTACTCTGAAAGTCCAAAATCAATAAAAACAAAATGGTGACATATGTTTGTATTATTTGAAAAACTAAATGCGTGCAAGGGGATCTGTCACTGCAGGATTAATAGAGTACAAGATGTTCTGTTTGTTGGGCAGCTGATTGTCTGTCTCATAATATGAATTTTGAAAAAGCTAGGGATTTCTGCTAGTGCATTTGCAGGTTTATGCTGAATTTCACATTAACAGTAAATCATCCTGTATGTATAGCTCTCTTTTTCAATTTACTGCTGCATAACTTCATCAGTTCACACAGGGAATAGGGCCATACGCATAATGAGTAAAAATCTGATAATAAAATATTAAGTAAGACAACGAAACAAAAACATTTGAAATATTAATACCAAGGCTCTAGAATACCCCTCATTGCCATTCAGCACACATTTGGTGTGCACATACGTCTTACATGTTGGTGGAATGACCGGGAGAATGCCAGGTAACATGCTCTAATGACTGCAAAGCAATATACTCAGAATTAAGAAATCCATTTAACAATGATGTAAATAAAAATAAGATGCATTCTGTTGTGAGTTGAAAGACAGTATTTTTGTTCCAGTTTGTTTAGCTCCCTCTGAGGAAGTAATTTTTCACTAGGTTAGTACCCTTCAAAACTGAACTCAAATTTATTTGTGAAGACTGATCCTTGGCTGTCTACAGGGCTGTTCTGCTGGGCTGTTACAGAAAAGTCCTTGTGGTGCCGAACACTTGCATAGCCAGCATTAAGCCTGTACTTCAGCATTGCCTTGACTTCAGGCACTTCTTTTCAGAAGGCATAGAAACGTATGCTTAATTTTAAAATTAAGCATATCAGCATATGCTGATATGTGTTTGACAGTTAAAAGAACTTTCTGCATATATCTATGCATAGTCTGCAGAAATAAGGGCATATACTTTTGTCCTAGCTTTCTGGGGACCTTCTGCAGATTCAGACACTGAAGAACAGGAATTAATCCAGTCTAAGATTCATTTTTTACATGCATCTATATTCAAAACCCGTAGGCGAGACCTTTTCAAGACCGAGTGTTTTCATGATTCCACAAAATGCAGCTCTCCCATCCCATGTGTCATGCAAATAGGCTCATGAATCGAGTAATTCTCCTCAACTAACCAGGACCGTATTTACTTAACTGATGTGAAAAGACAAAGGAAAATATACCGCTCAACGTGTGCAAAATTTATGGTAACATAATGTGTTTAACAATTTTATCCAAGTTTCAATCTAGGACAAAACAAATATGTTCACATAATCCCAAGCCATATTATAGCGGTTGCAATGCAGTAAGCAATGTAAAATTTTAATTCATCATTAAGTACACAGTACACATACAGGTTTTGTTTTTAAATAACAATATGCAAAACTTTCAGAGTCATTAACAATTTAATAAGCTGTTTAAACAAGAGAACACTTTGAAATGCTTGATCTGACTGTGTCTATGCTTTCCACGCATCGTGCAATAATTTATTATCATTTTCACAAATTGCTTGTCAGCTGGAAAAAAAAAACAGAACTGTTCTGCAATTATCTCCATTCCAGAAAGTCTCTGTATTAACTTTATATCAATGCATACGATAAGTATATGGATACAGATCAAATATGTTTTCCATTAACAAAATGTTAATTGCCCTTTCCATGTCATTAAGACTTGCTGATTACCCATGGAAATTCTACTGCAAGATCACAGAATACCCCGTATCCTACTGCCAGGTCTTAAGGCAGCAGTATCTACATGTTCTATGCAGTAACACACAGAGTCAACAGCTGTAATGACTAAGTAGAACAAACTAGGCTTGGCAGCATAAAGTCAGCTGCAGGACACTGCTCATGCTTCTCAACGTTTTGAAAAGATCATTTTATATCTTCACCTGCAACTGAGGAACTGCCTACCTCCAACTTGGGCAGGGAAGGAGGATAAATCGTAACGTGGTTGATCTTCTGCATTTTGATACTCCCTTGAGATGGAGATGCATTAGCATAACATTAACTCACTATATGTGTGTCTTGAAAAAGGGATTCATGAGCAGAACTAGTAAAACAATTCCCTTCCCTCTAGAAGACCGAGATTAAATGGTGTGCTATGAATCAGGGCTCTGCTTTCTCTCTAATTCTGCCTAAACTCAGTCACATTTTGAGGTGAAGTCTGTGACCCATGCTCAGAAAAAAAAAAGGAAAAAAAACTACAGAAAACAACAGTTTGCGTGATTACTATGACTAAAGAAATACAGGGCTAAAATTTGATACTTTGCTCTAGCTTATATCAGGGCATTGCCACGATGTAAAGCCAAATCTCTTAACTCTGGGATTCTGAGCGTCAATTTGACCAACACCAGAACTAGCTCCTTCCACATCTGCCTTTATTACCAGAGCATAACTTTCCTTGAAGCTTGCCTCTGGCCTCCACTTCTACAAGTAGCCCTTTTACAGCTTTCTGTTATGCCAAATACTATTTAGTCAATAGAGGGCAAGTCTTCCAGCATTTTGAAGTTTAATACCAATGTCCAAGTCCCTCTTCCAAGACCAGCTGACAAGTAGTCATCACCATTTTACACTGAGACTTGCATTCTGTTTTTCTTGCATTTTCAATTAATCACTGACACACTGTTAAGAAGAAAGAGAGCAAATCTAACATTTGACCCCATCTATTTCAATATCCAACCTGTACTGCATTAAGTGAAACCTCCTATGGAAGCCTGCAGAGAATACAACAGTTGACCTCACCCAAATTTGTGTACCTGAATACTCACAATTTAGTAATTCAGTTCAAGTTCTATTTTCTGTGATTGTTAATAAAACTTTATTTTATAAGCATAAACTTTTGTAATTTTTAACTGCAGGGGCAACAACAGTGCTTGCCAGGATACTGCCAGTCTCTAAATGCTCATGTGGCACAACACAGCAGTTTTGCGTTGTATCTTGTTCCCAGACTCACATTGCTTTGTTTTACATTATTGAAGTATGAGAATGCACATAATTGACCTGCCACGGCAAAGAAATCTGCTGAGAGTTTGAACTTGGGTTTTGAAAATGCAGGTTAAGGAAGAACCTACACATCTCCAGGCCTGTACCACTGAAAGCGTGATTCTTGTGGTTTGGGATAGATTTGCAAGATGGCTTTGACATTCTGTAAATACCCCCAGCCATGCACTGAGAATTATTCCATGCATTTCACATCTAAGATCCTACAGCTTTCCAACATGAAGAGCATGTACTATTGCATATTAAGTTGAAATAATAGGGCTCTGAACTCCCATTGCCTGCCATTTCAATTGCAGAATTACTACAGAATGAAAACCTTTACAGATCAAAAAAGTTTAGTCCTAACTAGGACAGCCTATTAAAATAGGGTGACATCTACTAGCAAAATTAAACAAAGAAAAGAAAAGTAGCTCTTCTAATAGAAACAAGGAAGTGAATATGGTTAATGTTATTACCAGCAATGAAAAATCATAGAATCATAGAATGGCCTCGCTGAAAACAACATCAAAGATCATCTACCACCAGACCAGGCTGCCCAGAGCCACATCCAGCCTGGCCTTGAATGCCTCCAGGGATGGGGCATCCACAACTTTCTTGGGCAACCTATTCTAATGCATCATCACCCTCTTATGAAAAACTTCCTCCTAATATCTAACCCAAAAATTGTGGTAAAAAGATTTGTAGGCATGATAAGTGAAGAGCTTGGAAGAGAAACATTGGCCCAAAGGTAGAAAGATGTCCACCAATAGAACAAAGTACACCACATGCAGTGCACATCCTTTAGGTTTCAATACACACTCTGGACTCAACAGTAAATTACCATAATGTCATGGACAAACTGCACATAGAGTCCTGGTAAGAAATGTACAGCAGATGAAAATAAAGTAATAGACTATCTGTCATTAAGGATTCCAGCATTCACAAACGAGGATCAACTTCATATGAAGCACTGATGAAAAACAGCTGCCTTAGAAGAACTAAGGTCTTACTCAGATTGTAAGAAATGATATTTATTTCAGATGCTTTGGGAAGATCTCTAAAGACAATGTGGTTACAGAAATGTTAGTTCTTAGTTAACACTGTATGTTTTTGCTCTCATTTCATCATAGTTGATTCATAGCATCTCTGGCCATTACGGGTCTGTTTTTCACTACACAGTGTACCATAATCTCTCATTAATACCAGTGAGATGCACTGAAGCTTCAAAAAGCATTCTGCATTTGGCAGGTGTAGGAAAACTTGGCAAAATGAGCACTGAAGGAATAGTCTTTCAAATAAGGCCTGCAGCACTCCACGCTGTAGTTGCTTGTGACGTGCTGCTCGTATGGCTTGCTGAATCCTAACCATAAACTTCATTAAATATGATTCCCTACAGAGAAGAATAAGCATGCATCTTACATACATACGTTATAATTTTGAGGCCAGCTGAGGATTTACGAGAGACAACTCCAGCTGGGTTGGGAAGGTAAAGCAAAATGAAGAGAGACAGAAGTAAAGTACTGCATTGCTAATACAGTGGCATCCTCTGAACAGATCAAAATGAGCTTGAAAAACAAATGCAAATCTGAAAGCACAGAGTAAAGCTCTAGATCTTGGCCCTTACATATGAGTTACATCATATGAGGGAAGTAAAATATCATCTTGACCTACATTGCTTGCCATGCCATTCATTATCGTGGTGGTGTAAGACAAGAGCTGGGACAGATTCAGCCCTATGCGTGTTGTCATCCAAATGAGTGAGTACATAAATTCTGATATTCTATCTCCATTTGAACGCTCAAGTGCCACCAAACTGGCACATTTGTGCCTTTCACTTTTTCACCAATATGCACAAGTGGGAATCCTGGGGCACCCACATTTACAAATCAAGCAAATATTTTTCTGTAACAAATAATTTCATACTTGGAAATTATGTTAAAGCAAGCTATGAATAAAGCCTACCAGGGCACTACAAATTTACTGCAAAACAAAAACAACATTAAACTACAAAACAATGAAAAAAATAACATCATTTCCCGTATGCTCAATGTGTCAACGGATATACAGTCCTTTAGGTAGCAATAGTACTAATGAAAAGTCAGCTGGGACAAATGGCATGTTTCTGTTTACTATTAGCATTATTTAAACTAGATGTAAGGTGTGAATAGGGCTTTAAAAATAAGTAAAAGTGTGACAGATCCCTGCTCTGAAACATATGTGATCTGAAGTAGAAGAATCTGTGGATAACAACTTTCAACTTTTTGCAGTGTGGAAAAACATTGCAACAAAAAACACGTTTCAAAGTTTTTGTCTATGAGGGGAAAGTTTAATTCACAATTTCTTCCTTTTATTACAGCAATGGGTTCTGATGAATTCCTCCACTACTACAGCTGAAGCTGCAGACAGGACTATCTCCAATTCTACCACACAAATGGAAAACAAGGAGAAGTGCCATAAAACAGAACAAGCTTCAGATCTCATTTATCAGGTGCAAACAGCACACTGTGGATATATTCCTGAGGAACTCATGTGGTCTGAGCCAGTTTCCAAGTCAAGGCAAGTCTCCTATGGTTAAACTATGGGGCAGTATTTTATTAACCACAAATCAGTTATTGCTGCAAAAAGCATCAAATCCTGCCTACCAATGAGACCTGTTCTGAGCTGATGCATGAGCTGCCTGGCTTGAGCCTTCAAGGGGCTGTGGAACAAACCCTCAAGACTGCTGCTTGCTGCCAGCCCATCAGACCAACCCCGCAGGGCCCCTCCATGCCTGCTGCACGCAGGGACGAGAGCAGAGCAGGCAGCCCCAGAGCCAAGGGAGCAGGTGGCAGCAGCACAAACCTCAGCAAGCAGCACGTGTTGGAACAATCCAGTTTGTTAAAAACTGAATTGCTCAAACACCTGGTAAGGCTTCACCTGGTGATCCTACCACATCCAAGCTGGTCTTTCCATTTGCTTGTCTGTGTGGTGAGCAGATGACAAAGTCCTGATGAATCACAAACTCTGGACACACACAAAAAAAAAAAAGGAAAAAAAAAGAAAAAAAAAGTAAATACTTCTTAAAATAAAGATGCAGAAGTCCGGGGAGACCTCATTCCAATACTTGATGGGAGCATGTAAACAGGAGGAGGAATGGCTGCTTATGAGGGTGGACAGTGATAGGACAAGGGGAATGGTTTTAAACACGGGAAGGTTTAGGTTGGATATTAGGAAGAAGTTTTTCACTCAGAGAGTGGTGAGGCACTGGAACAGGTTGCCCAAGGAGGCTGTGGATGCCCCATCCCTGGAGGCATTCAAGGCCAAGCTGGATGTGGCTCTGGGCAGCCTGGTATGGTGGTTGGTGACCCTGCACATAGCAGGAGGGTTGAAACTAGATGGTCATTGTGGTCCTTTTCAACCAAGGCCATTGTATGATTCTATGATTCAAATCTCTGCCTGTCATGGGAAATATCCAAAGATCTTCCAAATATACACAAATCAGTTCCTGATGCCCCAGGGCATATCAGGATGCAAAGAAAACAAGTTCTACAGTTTTCTGAGAAGAAGCAAAGGGCATCAAATGCTAGGAAAAAGCATGGTGGAAGTATAGACACAACACATCTTTCTAGATCTGTATGCATAAATATCAGGAAACAAAAGCAGTACACTAAGACTCCTAAACAGAATTCCTCTTCTGTTATAAATCCTTTTTTTTTTTTTTTTCCCCAATATTTATCCAACTGCAAGCTCTGACAGTACCTTCTAAATGAAGTAAGCTGTTTTAATTATCAAATTTACAAGACCAAACAAACTAGCAAATAAGCTTAATAGCATATTGGCAGTTATTAGATTGTTGACGAAGAGAACGGATACAGATACAGTGACAGCATTAAACTGAACATCATATCTCATAGAAACATCTACAAAACAGGTGAACACAAGAACCTAACACTATGTTCCCATGTCAAATTAAAACTTCTGTTTGTTTGTTTCCAAAGATTTGTTATGCAGTATTCTTAGCATGCATCACAAGACCTCCTCCCCCCTTCCACCAGCTCTGCTAGAGCTGAATGAAATAATACCAAGAAAGGAATTTGCCTCAGGTTATTTTATGCAGCCTTTTTGAAGGCTAAGGGCAAAAATACAAGCAGGCCTATGAAGAATTTACAATAAGCTGACTGACATAGTTAAGAAAACTTGGAAGTGTTCATCTAATGAGCAATACATATAACTGCTAAAACCTGAACCATCAGCACCTCTGTTGGGATCTTTTCTCTTCCTAGCCTAGTAACTCTGATGTGCTCAGACTGAAATCTACCTTCCTCCATGCTTTTTATACACTGAAAGTTACTTTATTAACATTAAAAGACTCCTTCCAACAACAGTGGCCACCAAGTCCATTTTCACATGGATTCACAGCTCCTGGAGCTGATTTCCCTGGAGCTGAACAGCCCGAAAAGTAGCAGGGATCCCCTGGGCTGGGGCTGTCAATCAATACGGCTCCCATGTCTTCCACTAGCAGTTCACACCTATCTAAGAGTCCACCTCACCTACCAACCTGCTCTACCACCTTGGTTGAAATTCAGTGCACAAAGAAATAATTCACATTTACAGAAGAACAATACATAAAAATTAATTAAAACATTAAATCTTTCTAAAGAAATGTGATGTACACAATTAAAGTCAGCATTTAGTATAGGGGAAAAATCCCTTCAGACAAAGGTCATTGGTGTGGTGATGAACATCTTTCAGGTCTTCCAAACAATGTTATCATTCTTTTGTCCACCTCATTAGTATCCTCCCCCGCAGCCTGCATTACCTCGTTCACACTACTAGAAACACTGCTTCCAGCAATGCCTATGTGTGCTGATTTTATTTCTCTCAGCAATTTCCTTACCAGATACCATATGCACGTGTAATGTTATTTCAGCTCAGATTTACACAGCACCTCTGATATTTCCCACATGCAAGTGTACATCTCTGAATTGGATTTCCGAATATAACAACAGAACATTCCACATATAAAAAAGCTTGTTTATTAGCACCATAAAATTGTCAGTCGTTTATGCCCCACTTGTAAATACCAGGCCACATTAACATAAACTTGCCAAATGCAGAACAGGGGGGAGAGTGGGTGATCTTCCCTGCGATCCTTCAACAGGAGAGCAAAGCATAAATAAAAAGTGAGCGTGGTGGGAAGTGCTACTGTTAGTTCTAGTAATTCTACTCCAGCTCAGAGGAGCAGACTCATGGCCCGGAGGACACGAGCGTGCACAGCCAGCATCCCTTTATTTACTGCCCTGAGTCCCTGCCATGCTCACTAGCTTGACTTCACAGGAGAGCACGTTGGCTCATCTTGTGCAAAGATACACATATTTTAGATGCTGACTACTCTCCTTGTCAGATTCGAGACCTAATCAATCCCTTATGCTATAACCAGGTGTAAGTCATAAAGAGGTTGTTATTAAAAAGTTTTATAGAGTGAGAAGCTTAGGTACTCGTGCAGGAGAGAGGTTTTATAAACAGCCCACTGTGCCGTCATGGTTTCAGGCACTGATGCCAAGACTTCTACCCTCTGGCCAGTTTTAAGCATATTTCGTTATTCTCAATCACTGGTCTTGAATTCTAGAGTTACTTCTGCTGCTGGCTTATAAAAGCCAAATTCTCCATCCACAAAAAGATCCAAATAAGACTTACCAGAACACTTTGGCTTGGAGGCCAGCAGTGACAGTCAGCAGCACCACAGCACTGAATTTGACTTTGCACACCTGTTTCGGTGGTAAGAGAGTGAAACGTAGAATGACTACAAAACTTCTACAGACTGTGCTCTGTGTGAAAAATGAGACTGTAGACAGTGAGTTACTCTAAAAATGAAAATCTGAGCAGCAAAAGAATACAAAAAATCAAAAATAAAGTATGGACTTTATGTTACCAAAATGTCAAAGCAGCAGCAAACATCCTCGATGAATTCATGAGTGCTTGCAAGCTTATACTTATTTCAGGTTATTTTTCAGTATAGCTTAAATCAATGGAGTATAACTTAACCTTAAACTAGAAAACCAATGCAGATTTATCTATCACTTGCAAAAGAAAAAAAAAAAACAACTAAATAAATTCAGTAAGTTATTGCAAAGGGAAAGTTAGAGCCACCCTGCCCACACAGGACAGCACTGCTCCCTGAGCTCCTCCTGCTCCCACTGGCTGCTTGTCCCCAGGGACCACCCTGTGTCACTTTCTAAGCAGCAACTGCAGAAGCCTCTGTGTTCAAAACCCAAGGAAATCCCTTAATAAGGGGAATTTATATGTGCATACTGCAGCTGCAGTCCATGTTCAAGCTGCTCACTTACAAATTTCCTGCTACATCCTCCAAATTCCAGCAAGCTATTATCTTAAGCTCTGCACAGCAAGTCCAGCCTTTGGTGGCATCTCACTCTGCTATTTTTGTCCTAGGTGATACTGCCTCCCATGTCGTTTATCAAAGTAATCATGACTCAAAGGACCCAGTTCCCACCCACACAAACAGAAAAAAATTTAGAGCAAGACAGGATACCAGGTATCCACAATGCTGTTATTATTATCTTGATAAAATAGCAGGGACACACATTCTGCCTGTCACAATTAAGGTGATAAATGCCTGCTTCTTTGAGGCTTGTTTGAAAGTCAATTATGCAGATTATTTCTAGAATACAGACAGATGGTCTTTTCCCCCATATGAGACAATCAAGTTGAACTTTGATATGTGCATAAAAATACTGTAATTTGTCAAGCTCCAATGGGGCCATTTTATCACAGATAACCAAAAGACTATATGGATTTTTGTATTTGCCTCTTTTCGATTAACACAGCCTATGTTCCTTTTTATTCAGAATTTTTTTTTTTAATGGAAGCTTTGCTATGTTTCATCTTGAAGCCAAATATTGATCTTTCGGTCGAGTCTTCAGGTTTTGATTAACGCAAAAGGTTGCCAAGCAAGCAGCTTTTTGTTTGTTTTTTGCTAATTTTTTTTTATTCACTTGCCACAGTAAATCTTGCTTTTATTGTCCCACCACTGAAAAGAAAAAATGGATTTATTCGAGCACCTAAATAATTTACAATACAGAGCTTTTTGGAAAGACTGATGCAATGCTGACCTTTGTTTTCCCCCTTCTCTAGTTGACAATAGAAAATTTTTGATTGACTTGAAAGGAATAGAAAGGAAGAAGATTGATTTTGACATGTTAATGATGGTTTAATGCAACAAAAGCTTTAGAAAATGAGTGTTTAGTAAGGAGTTTTTTTAACAAAGCAAAAACAAGCTGTTGTAAATACAAAAATTGCCATCAATATTTTTCTCATAATTTTCATTCTCTAACAGGTTGAATTTTGTGCTCCCATTTAAGAAACAAGTTAAATTTATTTTTGATGCACAAATATTCTGGCTGCCTAAATTCCACTTCATCCATAGTCCATGCTTATCAAATCCACAGTAGACTTGATATGCCAAAGCACACAGACCCTGGCAAATGTAGGAAAGAATATTCTGAAACAGAGGATGAGGGAGACCAATATCTTGTTTCTTGTAGACATTTTTTATATCCTCCTGTTAAACAACTTTGGCTCCCACGCAAATGCAACCAAATCAAAGACCTGGCTCCAATCCAACTGAGCCCAGGGAGGGCTTAAGCCTGCTTCCAAAGCAGTGCAAAACCCCATGAAGGTATAAATATTAATAAATATTTGAAGTCCACAGCATGTAGAGTCAATAGTAGATACTGTCTTACCTGTCTGAGGTTTAATGTCAGACAACACAAGATTAATAACACCTGCCTAATCAAGGAGCGTTTCAAGGTCTCCAATGAGAACTGCAACAGAAAGACAAGATATTAATTGAAGGGAACTTTTTGGATACTAGAAGTCTTCCCTGACACCACTGTCTAGAGCCTATAGTACAAATCACTGCTGGACACAGACATACACAGTTAGATCCAGATGGACATTAAGGCAACGGGTATTTTGGCAGAACATTTTACCAACTTTCACTGTAAGATACGTCAGATGGATTATCGTGGTTCATAAGGAGACATGGATATCAATCATCAAAACCCACATTTCAGCAAAATATTCAATACAAGCTTAAAATAACTCTTCTCAATCTATTAGCCAAAGTACTTGCATTACCTACAAGTTTCTGCTTAGCCCCTCTCAAAAAACATATACTGACTTCTTATGCAGTGCTTTAAACTCAACCACACACCAGAAAGCTGCTCACACAGTATTAACACCACCAAATCTGACCCCACAAAGCTTCCAAACTGCACAACACTGCAAAAATCTACCAGCCATTCAGGGCAGAGGCAGCTGCTGCTGAATGCAGCAATCATTTTGCCTTTCTTTTTTTTTTTTTAATTTCTCCAGACAAACCAAAAAGCAATGGCTCCATATCAATAAAATGGTATGCCAATTTGGTAATAAATATTCAGCTTTTCTCTTGGGAACTTACTGCTTCATTCTAGTTCTGATGGAACATATTGCCAGCCAGCACTCAGGGGCCCAGTATTTCACGTTATTATACATCTGCCAGATATTCATGTCCACTCTCTCGACGTGAGAAGAATAATGTGTTGATCTACGTGTGGAAGACAAGAAGGTGTTCAGGAGCAGTCAGCATACATTAACCAAAGAAAAATCATGTTTAAACAACCTGATTGCTTTCTACAGTGGGACAAACAGCCGGGATCAGCGGCACAGTGTCTAGCTGGAGGCCTGCAGCTACTGGTGCTCAGCAGGGGTCGATGCTGGGTCCAGTATTATTTAATTCATTCATCAGTGACTTGAGTAAAGGGACAGAGGGCCTCATCAGCAAGTTTACCACTGCATGAAAAACCCAGGAAAGACAATAAGGGCACAAAATTCAACTCATACACGAAAAAGTACGTTGCAGCAGCACCATTGTATTTTCCGGGGAGCAAGCATGAGAAACAAAAGGCTGAACATATGCAAACAGAAAGACTATGTAATATGGCAGATGAAAGTTCTTCAAATTATTTTTAAAAGTACTCTGTAAGTGGGAGAAGATGCGAGAGACAAGGGTTTTCAAAAAAAAAAAAAGAAAAAATTGTTATCATGAAGTGAAGGAATCAAAAAATTGTTGAACCTTGCACATTCTTAAAGCTACTCATGCAATTTTCAATTGTGCTTAAGTTTACAAGGACAAATCAGACCTTTGAAACTAACAATTCCATTTTCAAGGGTGTCCATGAAAGACTGAAGCCATATACAAATAAGTTACAGGATAGAAAAGAAAGCCACATAAATAACAACAACAACAAAAAAAACCTCAGGGTGAATGTCAGCAATTGAAAACATACATGCAGCTGCTGCAAAATAAATTACTGTAGTCAAAGTCTCTCCTCAGACTCAAGAGCTCATACGGCAGTCTTTTAAAGGTCAGTAGTGAAGTCAGTCACATTGGAAAAGTAGTCCAAGAATATGAAATCCAGTGTTCAAATGATCTGTTTGCCCAGGGGTCCTTATTAGAAAGGTAATCTCTTCTCTATCACTGTTTAATAACATATCATTACTTTGTGGAGTGCTTTAAAATACCTCGAGTACAAAAGATGATATTTAAAACAAATTCATTCTATTCTATCCCAAACAATACATAAAAAACTGAAGAGAAAGGATAAAGATGTTAATTTCACTGACAATTTTGTAACACTCCATGAGAGAGAGAGCAAACAGCTATAATTCCAAAATTACATATAACCACAGGCCATTTTGTCATGTGAAAAGTACCAAGAGATGATAATTTCTCCACTGACTTTAATTAAGCTTCATGTAGACTCTCTCACAGACTCTCCTTCCGGTTCTCCTTGTTATTAAAAGAAAAAGTGAAAGTACCTTCCAGGTGAATTTTGACGAGCGCTCGTAGTTCCGCAGTCTTGCAGAATGAAAAGTTTACATGTAAAGTCGAGGTTTTGATGAATGCCAACATGAAAGCCAATTAAATGGGCTGAAAGGAAGACACAATTTCCCATTGTCTAATTGCCTCACAGCACCTTCAAGGTAATAAATTTGTCACATTGAATTATTAATGAGCAACGAACATTTGACTTGTAGCCTTGAATAGAAAATAGTTCATTATCAGTTGGCCTTGTTCCTTCCAAACAAAGAGTGGCAAGAGGGGCGTTAAGAAAAAGGTGTCAGACAAAGCTCTTCCTCACATCAGCATCTTGCACATAGCATGCCTTTTGGTGCAACATCCTGCAAAAATTCCACTGAGGGGGAAAAAATCTAATTCCTAATGCTCTTCAGCCTTTGCAGCCTAACAAAATTCCATCTGGATTTCCCAAAATACTCTACTTCACTGTCCCTCACTTGAAACATATACAAGGCTACGTCAGTGTAGAAGGAGCTCAAAAAAAACAAAGGCCAGCTTTACGATTATGTGGCTCTTTGAGACTCTACCTATCTTCTTTGCAGAGAACTGCACACAGAAATGAGATGGGACAGGTAGAAAAGACCTCTGTAATGGTGGAGGACTCCACTGTATCTTCTTCTTAGAACAGAATGAAGTCTAGCCACTTGGTTTGGTGTTAGATCTGCAACTAGATAGGGAATTATGGAATAAAGTTCATTTGCCTATATCTAGGCCGTCTCAACAGCAAAGGCTGAGGCTGTGCCATGCCTGGGGACATGCAGCTGCCCTGGTAATGGGCGTGCTAAGAAAGCCCCAGATATAGGAGCACTGGTACTGGTTCTCCTCTGAGTCTGGATCACACTTTCTCCAAGGGCTGCCACTCCATACAGCACACTTCAGAGTAGCATACCCTACATTAACTACTTTGCCTTCAGAAAGTAATTGCTGGTTGGGGAAGCATTCCTTGCACTTAGAGAGTTCTCAGGTGAAGGAGGAGAAGAGAGAGGCAATCAGTTTGTGTCCTGATTGTAAAACATAACAGGAAGACACAAAGCCTCCCAGCCCAAGCAGACAGAGCACCTGCACGTACCCTGGATGTTCAACTCTGTACATTCAGCAAGCATTTCAGCAAGCATTTTCTGAAATAGTTTTCATTTTTACAGAAAACTTATAATCGTTAATTTGAAGCACAGGGCTCAAGTTCGCAGTGTCAGTAGGACTAGTTCATAACTCCAGGATAGGAAGCCCTTCTCTTTTTGATCTCGAGATGAATAAAATCGGCTTCTTTGATGCCTGACCATTCCAAAACTCAACTATTCCCCCTTCTGCCTCACTTCATACCAGGGTTCCCCAGTGTTATTCAAAAACAAAATTAATACCTGCTCAGTGGCTGTTTCCATGGCCAGGTAATCACAGCCGATGGCTATAAATGCTCACAGAGCCCAATAGTTTACTGGAGCTTCTCACCTACATTGTAAACGAGCTCTGCTACAGAAATCATACAAGCTGCTCAGAGTTCATATCACTTCTGCCTGAACACAGCACCCGTAGCTTGTGCATGGAAGAGCAATGGAGAGACCAAATACTCGTCACAGGGCCAGGCACCGAGGCTTCCACGCGCATTGGGCCTAGCTGCATCGTGCACACAGACAAAGCTGCTTCTCCTTAGGTGGAAATGGAAGTGTTGTTAACTCTCTCTTGAATTGCAGCACTTCCAGAGAGTCCTGCTGATTGAGGAGGTGCTCAAAGGGCCTGTTCCAAGTGCATGTGTGAGCCCTGAGCAAGAAATCTCTCGGCTGCTGCATCTCTGGCACTTCACCAGAACACCTCAGAGATTCAGCAGCTTTCCTTTTGCAGTGAATTTGAGCCTTTCATGCACACATCAGTAACACCTGTAGTAGAAAGCTTAGAAGTTTTAATGAATAAGGCAGGGAGATTTAAAGGTTTGGGTATATAATTACTGTAGCAACATGTGCTCTTTCTTGCACCACCATGAGATCTTCTATTAGGCATGGTGCAATACACCAAATAAATTACAGGTCACAAAATACAGCAGTAAATCCTGCCCACATTAAATTACAAAGTAATTAAAACTGCTCCAGTGTTTACACTTGAAATTCACTAATGATATCAGAAAAACTTCCGATTACCAATGCATCCAAAGCAGCCTCTGTAGCATCTGACTGCTGCTAACATGAAACTGCTTTTTCAGCAGGGCCAGACAAAAACAGAAGTATTTAGACATAAATAAGCAGGGGATGCTTCCGAGGCTCTAAAGAAGATTCTTCCCTAGGTAAATCCCCAATTCCATTTATCTGTTAGTGAAATTATCATACACTTCAAGTTCACCCTATAAAAAAACACCAAAAATGGGGATTTTCATCTGAACACCAAACAGTACCAGCTTTACTACTTATAGGCAACATGCTTTTTCATTTCTCAGTCCCACCTCCATCCTGGTTCAATCCAACAAGGAAATGAAAAGAGCAAAAGGGCAGCACCAGTGTTGCTCTGTTCAAGGATGTGGGTGGCGCCAGCCCTTGAACTGCCTCTGCTCCTTGAAAAAAAGGACCATCAGCAGACAGGATGTCTCAATTCCCAAAAACCTTCCAGGCCAGGAAGTTGCAGCGATGCTGAAATAACAGGCAAGACAATGAATGCACTCCGACAAAACCTGACAAGACAGTAGCGAAACACTCATTATTATCCCTGACTTATAGGGCAAGTCAAGCCTTTAGTCACCCTTGTCTTGATATACTCTTATTACTGATAGTGAATGGCATTCATCCTATTTCAGAGTAAAACACCTACTACTGCTGATACACAGAAATTAAGTACCAGCTTTCATTACACATATGGTAGATTTGATTACTCTATTGCTTCTCACATCAGTCACTTGGCAGTAGTCATGCATCCTCCTCTGAAATTGGGATGCAGCAATTAGGTACCTGTGTGAAACAATGATATTGCTCCATCCCATACCTGCACTCAGTGCAGTGCTGCCCAGTACATCACCAAGTCACTTCCAAAAAGCACCTGACGCTTCCTGGCAACCTATGAAAAATGTCCTATTTTGAAACAGTATTGCCTCTGCGTGATGTATGTGCCGTTTTTCCTTTCCTCTCAGTCTTCATTACTAACATTTGCATGAAAAATAGCATCTTCAGTCTTCAAAAAGTTCATCCGTTGCTGCTGCTATTTTTTAACTTTGCACTTGAAGTCATAATCCTCTTTGCGTAGTTACAGCAGGATGCTGTGAAAATTCTTGTGGCAAGGAGAAGAAAATACAGCCCTGATGAGTACTCAAGAGGAAGCCTGGGTGCCAGAGCAGAAACGAAGCAGGCAGCTGCCAGCATCTAGTATGTTGCCACCATGTAAATACCACTCCTGGGCCTCCTTTCCTCTCCACAGTCCTTCTGAACTTCTCAGTGACAGCAGAGTCCCATTGCACACTGCTACCACCCACCATGGCTAACGCTGCCCCACATTTCCCCACACTGCATCCAACAGCTGCTTCCTGCCCTAGGCTACGACTCCTGGCCAGGCACTGCTTACTCCACCAGGGCTGCACATGAGCAATGCTCCAGTGTTCTCTGGCACCAGGAGTAAGAAAACGGTAAGCAGGGGTGAATTGTGAATAGCTCAGGCACGTGCTCATTTAGCTCCTCTGCCAGTGTTTCTGCTAGCCTTTAACTCATAAATATCAT